CAATCCCTTGCTTCTACCAGGAGCTAAAAAATGGCTGTAGCAGTAATATATTTGTGAATAAACATAGAAACCTGAATTTTGAGGATTTTGATTTTTTTGAGCTTTTATATTTAATATGTAAAAGTCAAATAAAAAAGTGTTGAAATTTATTTAAATTTCCACTGTCAGGAATTTCTCCTTTGTAAATTATGTGAATCTGGAGAACAAAACTGCTTCTGATGTTCATCTCAGACCCTTCATTTCTTAAACTTGTATCTGTAAACCTGAACATGTAGGCACTCACAGAAGACAACTGCTCGACTTGATCTACAACTAGACCTAACAGTTAGGATGGACTCTCAAGTATTAGATCAAAAGGACCCACTCTGGGTTCTGATTTACAGTTTATCCTTACAATAAGTAACATAAAGTCATGTCAAATGGCTAAAATATTGTGATTGACATTATCTACATAACTTTTATTTATTTTTTAATGAATAGTGAATCCTGGGCAAAATTATGATAATTAAAACTATTTTAATGTTAGTGGCACATTAACAACAATATAATTTACAGCATTTTTGTAGCATCTCTGCTATAGCACCATCATTCAGATTCCTCAAGCTAATGATTGTTTTAGGTGCTGCATATCACATTTTTCAAAAGGAGCCTAACAAGAATCGGGACACTGGAAAGCACTTGAATGTGTACATGTGAGTGTGTGTATGCATGCATGTGCGTGTGCACGTATGCATAATTAACTTTACATTCAGAAATTCTTAGCTTGACAAGGAGGGAAGAAATACAAAATTCAAGGCAGAAATTGAAGACTGAATTGCCTGAGACTACATTATGCTCTCATCTTTAGAATTAGGCACATGTGTTTGGAAGACTGGTAATTATAGGAGAAATGCTGTGCTTCTTGTGATATGGTTTGCTCATCTTTGGTTCCTTTGTTTCCATTGTTATTTCTGGATAATTTGTTAAGTTCTGTCATTCAGCCATCTTTTGCAGACATGCGTTGTCTTAATCTTAAAAAGCTAAAAAGAAAAGAGTTATCTTCTTTATATTACAATATCCTTGCAAAAAGAAATAACTTAGAGAAAGCAATATTTTTAAAGTGAAAGAAATTATTTTTGAACATATACATTCAAGTGCAATACATAATTATAATGTTATAGTTTGCATGTGTGCACACATGCATGCATGCACGCACACTGTTAAACTTTGGCGCTAAAGGGTGTGGTGGGAATTATTAGCAAGAATGCTTGTCAGACATGAAGCTGAACCTAAATAGCTCACAAATAGATTTTCCTCCTGTATATTAAACTAGTGGTTTGCAAACACAGTGATAAATGTAGTTTACTGTTTATAGAACACTTGGAAAATATCTCATTGAAATTCTCTAGCCACAGTGTAGGCATTTTCAATGCTTCTCTACACTCCTTTGTCAGGATAGCCACAAATGTGATACAGAGACCATCTTGCAATTAGTGCATAGGTTTTTTTTCCTGGGCCTGGCAATAAATTGGCAATAAATTCATCAGCTGTGGTGATTTTCATTATCTATTTATTTGGGATCTCTATTTGGATCCATTTGGATCTTTCTTGTGTCTGAAGTTGTATGGACAATGGAAATCAAGAATGAGAAACTATCAGCTCTTTTACATAGATAGTTGAACAGCAATTAGATGCTAAAAATGTCTAGTTACTCGTGAAGGTTGAATTTGAATTGGATAGGAAATGGCTATTGCAGCCATGGGAAGGGAAATTAAATATTAAAAATATATATTTCTGCAGCTTGAATAAACAGTGGTATCAAAAGGCAGCAATAACAGATTGGTTGTTCTGCACAGCCATGCTGTGGCATGGTTTGGGTTGGTGCCAGGAGCCACAGGCACTGTTTGATGTATCCCTCATATGATAAGTTTAAAAGAAGGACCTTTTCATCCTTCTTTGCTGTGGCTGTAGCTGTACTGCCCTAATCTGTGACTTGCCTGCCTAAATAGGATGTGGCAATGTCCTAGCCTCAAGCATTTAAAAAGCAGACATTATTGTAGTGCTTTTCATGAATCTGTTAAACAATTTCCTTCCTGTGCCCAAATGAAATGGGTATTGTCCAGTGTAAAGATATCAATATTAAAAAAACAATCCAAGGATTTTAAGGAGGCTTAGTGAAATGATTCTTTGGGATATCCCTTACCCCTACCTGGCTCTTTATGTGAAGAGCATATGCATTTGAGTGGCAGTGGAGAGTCTTGTGTTCTTTTTCCCCATGCATCTCCACTTCTGGACTCCTTTTCCAGAATTGGAACCTTGCTGCCATCTTCTTTCACTCCCTCACAAATAGTTTCCATATTCAAGATTATCTTTTTTTTTTTTTTTTGAGAGAGAGAGCGAGCTAAGGTTTATTGTTTTTTTAAATGGAAGCTCGAGTTTTCTTTTATAGGGTAAAAAGCTGGTCTTTTTAAGATTCTCACATATCAATCTCATACTTTAGCAGTGTGCATTAATTTCCCTGAAAAACATCATCTCTGCTTGCATGATTGCTATTATGCATTTCTACAGCATAGTAATAAATGGTTTGGCCTATGCGCTTATAGGGCATTACAGGTCTAGGATGACATCACTAAAAGCCAATCAGAAATCTCCAATTGTATTCCTTTCTAAAGCCTCATAAAACATGCCTTGTTCTGTCTTAGTGCTTAATTTTCAAACACAAGTAATAAGATCAGACAGTAGTATGCTCTCCCTGAGGAGTTTTTCCATGATGGTACATTCACAAGACATTTTTATACACTAGAATTATTTGAGTTTACCCAATTTTATTTTTACCACAATAGTAACAGACTGTTCTTTTCCATTTTGTTTAATATAGGTACATGTGAAGATACTTAAAATTATCTAATGTTAATTATTATTTCCAGAATTATATCTGTTTTCCCCTCAGAATGAAGAAGTTAGATTCATTGAAAACGAATTGGAAAATCACAAACAGAAATACTTTGAACTACAGACATTTACTAGAAGCTTGATACTGGCTATCAAATCAGATGATAAAGAACAGCAGCAGGTAAGGCCAGAAGGAGACAGCAATGAGTTGTTTTCATCTTTTTTGTGTGTGTTCCATCATTTTCATATGTATTTATATTCTGTAGTGCTTATAGGCTCAAACTGAGATCAGGGTCTTCTTCATCCTAGACATTGCGCACACAGTGAAAGTCCCAGCCTAAAAGATCTTGCAACCTAGACAACAGAGACAAAGGGTAGGAAAGTGGAAGTATTATGCTTATTTTGAAGAGGGAAATTGCACAGATTGCATTGTATCACAGATGTAGTCCAAGGCTGAGCCAGGAATAAAGCCCAGATCTCTTCAGTTCTGCTCCAGTGCTTTAAATAAATACCCTTCCTTTCTCTACTCTTGTTTTATGTTGCTCTGAGGAATTGTTATTGTCATATGCTAAAGTAGACTTCGTTTTAGAAATATGTTTGATTTTCATTTTAATAAAAAGGAAAAGGTCAGAACATACCATGGTGTAGATGTTGGTATAGTCTCCACTTATTTCTTTGTGGATTTACACCAGCTGAGAATCTAGCATAAAAATGAGTGTAGGTTAATGCATAATGTGATGCCAATTAAGCAATGAGTTTTTTTCTTCTATTCAGATATTTAAAAAAGAAACCAAAAGCAAAAAGAAAATAGCGTTACTACCTCACTTTCATATAATGAATTTGTTAGGAGGCCCATGGCCCTATCCATCAAAGCATGCATATACATATTTAACTGTAAACCCATGTTTTTCTGGGCTTTTGGTTCAGGTCCTGTCTGTGCACAGTTTTGCGTTCATAGTCTGAACACTGGGAATATTTTCCCACGTAAAATAAGTAAACATTGTTTATGCTTTATAAAAGACATCAAGGTCTTGGGACTGAAATATCAATGAAAGTAACCTCCTAATGACTTTATACATAGGGGCCCAGATCTTCATCCTGATACTAATATGCTGCAGGGTTATATCTATAAGGATAGCCTAATTTGGCTGCTTTTTAAAATATGCACTGTAATATAGTAATGTTCCTATAGGCACACAACAGATTGTTTAATTCATGAAGCCATTCTGGGAATCTTTTAAGATATGTAGCTTCATTTTCTTTATTGTTTTTGGACAAAGGGTTTGATTTGCTATAGTTCTTGCAACATGCTTAGTTACAAAAGTGCATATGTTGAGCAACATGTAATCATCCTGTCAAAAAAAAGTGACAAAACTTGTTAATGTTAGTGTGCCCTTGCATGTATACAGCCTAAGGCCACGTACAGGCATGTTTCTATAGGAGAGATGCAGCTCCTCAGTAGAAATTGAATGTGCAAGCGTGCATACAGTTTCTCACAAAACAAAAAAAGCAGTTCTGGGAGAAAAATACTGATACATGTGACGCACAGGCACTTTTAATTAGTGAAGCTCACTAATTAAAGCACCCAGCACTGCATCCCAGAACACATGTAAAAATGGCCCAGGGTTCCCAGTCTGAGGAGTGGGCAGAGGACTTTGCACAGCTACTCCAGTCCCTCTTGGAATGGGAGCACAGGAGCAGCCACTGACTGTTCCCCACACTTTCCCCAGGCTGAAACCACTAGGTCCTGGGAAGAGGGGAGAGGTCAGTTGCAGACTGAACACCTGTACTCTCCCTCACTCAGAAACATTTCTAGCAGTGGAAAGCTTCCACTATTAGAAGTTCATGGATTCAGCTATACTACCAAGAAAATCTGAAAAAGGAAATGTATGCCTTACAGTCAGGAAAACATAGCTACTAATGAAAGAACAAGAAAGGAAAATTTACTGCCATGATGAACAGTTATTGCAGGAACAGAAAGAAATCATAAGCTAATATTTGGGGCATTTTTTTTTTGTTCCCTAAAAGGAAAAAAAATCTTCCTCTTTATGCTTTGGAATTCATCTTTGGATAGCCACCTATGAACTCATATTGAGATGCAATGGTTATTTAAAATATGGTAATTTGCTATCATTCATACGTAAGGTTTCACAGTATTCCTCTATAATAACAAGAAACAAACTTGTTATCTGGTGGGAAATGACCTTTTGGCTATGGTAGCAGATGCTTCATTTTTAGACAGCTTTCTGCTCTGCCTTTTATATAGGGAATTTCACCACTGACTGAAAAAATGCAGAAAAAGCAATCTTTTTTGGTATGTAAGTAATTGCAGAGTTACTATGAAATGTGGAAAATGTGACCAAATTTCAATTTTTTTCCTAAAAAGCATCCTTTTTTATTATAGGCACTGCTGTCAGATTTACCTCCTGAATTAGAAGAGATGGATTTCAATCATCCGTCTCCAGAGCCTGATGATACCTCATTCAGCTTGTCATCTTTATCAGAGAAAAATGCCTCAGACAGTTTGTGATCTTTGGAGGAAAAAAATACATACAACACTTTTAGGCTGCCTAACAGGTGTGCATTTGAAGATAACTGCATTTGTTACCTGATATCCTTCAATCAGAAAAACCTGAGAGAAGTAGGCAGACCTTGCCGAAGGGGGAATGGGATAATGTGGCTGCAGTTTTGCAGAGACGAGAAATATGGAACTTTGTGTTTGGCGAGCCAGAAAGCTATATAACAAAATGTTTAGTTTTTAGCACCTCTGCCTTGATTAGGGTAACGTCTAATTTCCAAAATAACTCTTACTTTGTAGCAAAACCTATTCTGAGCAGGGATCCAAGAATGGAAAACAACTGTCCAGTGTTATACAGCCAGGTAATATTTCAATCTGCTTGTCACATTAAATTCACCAGTCCTGTTTGTTGTAACCATTGCCTTTCCCCTTACTCCCTTCTTACTCAGGTAGGTGGACTAAAAATTGGGAATTCAGATAGAATAATGGGCTTGTAATGAACTGTTCTTGGACTCCTGTGAAAATTTGAATTAAATCAGAGATTAAATTTAAAAAATGCTTTTTTGTATGTAACTACAAATTGTTGAGTCACCCATTATCTCACCAAAATGCCTGAAAACCATTTGGAAGACTAACTGAAACATTTGAATTAGCTTTAATAAATTATTGATGTACAGAAGCAGTCTTAAATGTTGTAAAAACTTAGACCCTCCCTGAAAATTCTTGGTTACTGGAAAAAGAAATGTTTCTAATATTCTCACTGTAGTGATGGGATTAGATGATATCTTACACCAATAGCTAGAGTTGTATGGTCATAGTAATGCTTTTATTGCACTGGATTTTAGAAAGCCTGAATAGCAATGGCTGTGTTCAAGGTTTAAACATCAGTTGGGTAGATTTTCCACACTGCTTCATTCTGTTGTAGCAGTGCCATCAGCCAAAGACGGTTGTCAGTCCACCCCTTGAGTTGTTCTACCTTACAAATTCCCACAGTGTAATTCATTTAGGGCCATGTTGCACATTACACTTAGGATGTGCTAACTGCACTTAAAATGTGAGTTTTCACATGTTCAAGCAGTAAAACATGCAACGTGAGATTGTATTGTAACAAAATGTTAAAATATTTTGTGGGAAGAATATCTCCAGATTGTATTAAGTAGTATGTTCTGCTATTATCAGACTGCTCAGAGATTATCAGAGATAATAAAAGTTCAAAATTCTGGTGCAGTGCCAGGTCTGGGACTAACAATCTGTTGATTTTTGGCCCCAGCACTGCACTGGAGCAAGTCCAAAACTACTGTGTGATGCTGGGATGGCAGTCAGCTGATTGTCAGTCCCAGCCCCAGCAGCATCACACTGGAGCCAATTCAGACTGCCAGCAGCAGAGACCCAGTTCTCCCCACAGATCCAGCTGCAAAAGGCTTTGTTCCCTGTGCCTCCTTCCACTTGCCACCAACAGCAGAAACCCAGATCACCCCAGCATGCCAGGGGTAGGAACTCCTGGGCTGAACAGTGCTAGAGATATGCTGGGGAAGGTGCAGGCTCAGTACAGAGCTTGTATGTACTCATGGGTGGACATGTGAGCTGTAGCACCTGGTGCCAGGGCCAATGTTGGGATGGGGGAAGGAATCCCTGCCAGCTTCGGCCCTGTCCAGAGCAGGCTGAGATCATAATAAACATTACTGTGCGACTACTCAGAACACATTCTAACTTGTCATACAGTACAGTAATGCTTACTAGGAGCTAAATAAAACATATGCCTAAGTGTCCCATGTGACAAGGTCCTTACTAATTACCCGAATTTGACAAATTGCTGTGTTGTTTTCTCACCAGACACCAGGTGTTAACAAAGTATTATTTTAGTTGCAGTTTCCAAAGTGTATACTTAATTGTTGACAGTGGCTGAAGCTATCTTGTCCTTTCTTGGCAGCCATTTGAAATTGAATCTCACATCTCATTTAATAAAATCAGTGTATGTTGATGCACTCAGATAAATTCAGTATACTACGTAATACTGCGGCATATAGCTCAAACTTTGTAATATCTAATCTGAATGTTTCCACACAGGCCTCATTGAAACCCTAGGTCTCACCAAGTTGAGAGCCAGATGCTTCTGCTCTTATACTGAATTGCACCTTCCTCTGAGTAATTCTGCTTAAATTACTGGTACTGCTTACTGTACATTGTGTGTCAGGATTGAACAACCTGGTATTTTCTAAATAGTTCTAAATTGTTGTAAGTGTTGAGAAAAACCCTTATTTCTTTTTCAATTAACTTGCTATTGGTTAAATGTATTTTACTCAAATTCTGCTCTGAATACCTGTTCTGTTCTGCATCTTTATGGCTTAATCCTTTCTGCACCATTACCATCTATTACAAGCCTTGTTCTTTTGGTTTCTCTCTACTCCTGTGTTTGTGCTGCAAGGCATGGAGAAAACCTTAGCAGTGCTGTTGGGTGCCAAGCACAGTACGTGATACTGTTAATAAAAAAAATGATAATAATCCAGGGCTAGTATAAAAACTACTACTGATACACACTATGCCACAGCTCAATTAAATACATACACTCCCTACACAGGTCAGGAAAACCACTACTACCCAACTCACAGAATAATACAGCAAAAAGCAAGCTGCTGACTCCACATCTGGATAAGTGTCAATGTAAAGAAGTTAGGGTAAAAAGACACTGAAATATTAAAAAGGCACCCACTGATACCAAAGGATCCATTGTAGGTTCTTCACCTATTGTATAGCATAGCTACAAATTCAGGCTTTTCCTGACAGCCAGATTTTGATGTCCTTCCTGAAAATGATCTGCACTTTTTTTACAGTCCCAGTCATTTCAGTACAGGACTGTAAATAAGAATTATGGTACTACACTTAAATACAGCATAGATTTCGTTTACCATACTGTATACCTTGAGATAACAGACGTGATTGATTATGCATATTCTGCATTGAGTTAACAGTGCCTGTTGACAGTACTTTCCCCAAAGGGAAGATACATGAGACAGTTAAGCTTCATGCTTTTAGTGAGTTTTATTGTAAAAATTTAAAGTAATGGTGGTATGACCCTAGTTCTCTCATTGGACCCCTACTTCCAATCTACTTTTCCTTTGCTTGGTCTGACAACAAACAGCAGTTTTTAAATTCTAATTTTTAATTTCATGGGCCCAGAGCCTGTAGCAATTTCACTTTTTACAACAGAATTTTATCACTGCCCTTCATTTTTCTCTCTTGATTTTGCCCTGATGTTGTCAAACTAATTCAGTCAGTTTAATTTTGGATGAACTACACCTAGCTGAAACATTTATTTGGGAATCTCTTTGATCAGTGAGCTGGAATGCTGATTCATAAGCTACAGATACTGCACTTATCCTGGAAAAAAGTGCAATCCTTTAGGGTAAAAACAGCTTATCCCGGGTCTGATCCTCCAGGGGTTTTGACTCTGCACCAAAACAGGCATGGAACAATTGCAGTTTGAATGACAACTCAAATTAGCTGCAGTTGTCCTGGAAAAATGTTAGCTCTGATACTTCATAGCTACTTAAAGTGGACTTTTAGGATCCCAGAATAACGGGCTTTGCCCCAAGAGAAATCTGATGTCTGTTTTTAGCCTCAGATGCCCATGTCTTTTGCCCCAGAAGAAATCCTAAAAAGGTCCATGGGGTAAGAAATTCTAACAGTGTATCCTGAGACATTGTAAAGTAAGTCTAAATGGTTATCCCAGGATTTCATCATTAAATGCATGACAAAAATGCAGCAGAGTATTCAGCAGCTTACTAAACTCTAATAAAAAAGGTGATGTGTTTACTACGCATCAATCAATGAATATTTCTGTTCCAGGACGAACACAGGCACAACTTGTCCAGGGATAAATGCAACATCTATTGCTAGCACCTAGAATATTAGGCCTGGGGTCTGCGCCTGGTTTATCCCTTTGAGCAACAATATGCTTAGTTTTCTGCAACACAGGGTAAAAAAAGTATTTATTGCAAAGCAGCCATGTTTTCACATCCAGAAACAATTGGCAACAGGAGGATAACTGAGAAGAAATATTGTGTATAAAATATGCTCCTATTTAATGAGATACTTTGTAGGGGTAGTTCTGTACAGCTATTATAGTGCTTTTCCTTAAAATGATCTTAATCCATATGTCCTGAGATATTCCCAGTGCTAGTAGTTTTAAAAATGTTTTCATCCTGTACAAAAAGCAGCAGACTTATTTTTTTTTTTAAAGGCACAGTATGGTAACAACAATTCGGAATAATAATCTTTTAAAAATATGAATGTCCACTTCGGAAGTCTACACCTCAGATGCATACTTTCACCAGATATGTGGCTCATGGCTTCATGCTTTGATAGTCTCTTCTGAAATCCAGGTAATCAGGCTCACAGGCTCCAATCAAGAAAGCGATGTAACAACATTCCCATATCATAGTTCTTCATTTGTTCCTTCCCACAACCCACCTTATTGAGATCTGATTGGGCCAGTGTTCACTTAGGACGGTGCACACACTATTAATATGAAATGTTCATGAGAGAGTTTTGAAGCCTTTTCTGTGGGTCTGTAATCAGTACACTACTAGCAAAAACAATGCTGCCATCTCTAGATGATTCCAGCCAAATTCAGTCCCAACTTGAATTGGTATAACTTCAATTAACCCAACTGACTGGGAGTTTAGTCTATGGATGAAAGGGCAACATCTGTTTCTTTAGCCTTATATTTTCTGTCCATTCTTCCCACCAAATTTATCTCGATAGGTAGCTGAAGCACTTTTCAGACCCAGAAGCAGATACCTGCGCATACTCATCTTCTGAAGGAATTCTAGGTTTTCTTCGGCTGATAAAGTGCTGCTGATGGCTCTGGTGATCCTGACCACTTTTAGGATATTGGTTTACAATTATTTCCTCTGTTCATTGGTGGAAAAATAGAGCATGTTAGACGTTAGTTTATCTTCCACTACATGTAGATTGCCAGAAGGATGCTAGTTTCATGACAAAGAAGGGAAATAATAGTAGATGTTCCTGTGGTAGCACAAAGGAAACATTAAAAAAGCAGCTATTTTACTCCTTTACATCATGAACTTCAATAACAGCTACAAAAGTGCAGCGAGTTGAAGAACCTTCCATCATCTTGCTGCTAAGGCTCCAGTTTGCTTGATCAGTGAGGGATGACCTCACTGACATTATTTATTCCTAAGAAATCTATTGTGATCTGAATTACAAAGATCTGTGTCCTTCTGAAGAAAGCGTGAAGTGGAAAATGCCAATTCAGAGCAACAGACGTGCACTTTAAACCGGAAATCTGGTGCTACTTCCTTGTGAGGAGCCATGATAGCCCATTTGCTTGCAAATTTGTTAATACATGAGGAAGGGTGCACCTGAAGCAGCGCTAACAAAACTTAAATATTTCTAGTCACTACTTTTTAAGCAAATATAGTTCTAAATGCCTATGGAAAGCAGGTCTATTAAGAAAGCATCCATTTTCTTAAATTGTCGCTTGCCAGGTAGCACTCTACTTGAAAGAGGTTTTGCTTTAAAAAAACCCCAAAACTCCAAAAATAAGCAAGCCACAGGCTTCACAGCTTCACAGAAAAAATGGAAGGAGCAAAGGGTATAGGTGAGCATGCTGCATTTTTAACTTACCTTGCTAAATTCTCTTCTCTCTCTACATTGGGAATCTACTCAATTCCTTTGCCAAATGAAAAAATAGCAGGGATATCTAATAATGAAGTGATATAATCACAATCCTATTGTATAGTATCAGTTTGGTGAAAACTTTTGTAACAGAGCTTAGACTGCTGCAAATTGGACTGCACTTTTGCTACCATATTAGTAACCTTAAAATTAGTCTTGAAGTGCTGTCTTTTCTGTTCATACTTTAGTGGATTCTTATTCTCAGGATTTTCATGGTGCGAAGAAAGGAAATATTTAAAGCATCTGAAACCATTAAAAAAGTAAGAAAAACTGGTAACATTGCAACCAAAAAGTTACTTTACTACCTCTAGTCCTACTGCCCAGACCCTTCAGCATCAACCAGTTATATACCAGGCTGCCTTACCTGCAGAGGGCCTGGTGTCTTTCAAATATTCTTTCAACTTCAAGACAAGTCTCTGTCTGTTTCTAAAAAAACAGAAAGAGTGTATGAGTTACTTGGTTATCCTATGTCATTCATGTTCTGACTCCAGTTAACTCTGGCCAATTAATCGGAGGCATCAGAACCATCTTTTTGTATTGTCAGGCTTGTCTAACCATTTAATATTTTACCACACTTGCCAAAGTTTGCATCATAAGAATAAGCGGTGAGCAAAAAGCTACATGGTACCAGAAAACTGGAACCGTCTTTGGCAGACGGCACTATACTACACTGTTTCCATAGAAGAATCCACAGGGTTACTTAAATCAAAGAGCTTTTTTCTCTGTAAACATATGACTAACATTTTGCTCAAGGATGCAAAAGACAGAAATGTGTGATTTAACAAAAAAGCCAAACCTCTAACAAGAAAGGAGACTGTTAAGAAAGTTCTCTCAAGGGAAATGTTTTCTGGTCAGTCCTGTGGTAAAAGTAAACATTTT